CATATTATGTGTATACATTGAGATAAAATCTTGTCAATTATACTTGAATCACTACACCTGAAGTGTGGGTTGTATGATCGGTTTCAAAATAAAGATATGATATGTGGCAAGATAGTGCAATTAACACTTTTAATATTGTAATAGTATATAAATACTATAGTGTATGAAATACCCCAAAAGTGGTATAAATATCTGAATTATTACAATAGATGGCATATGATGTAAGAAAAGTTATGATGGGACCAATGAGAAACGTATTCAGATATCATTGTCAAAATAGCATGTAAATTAAAATTGTACCTTGAGGTATATGATGATGCCGGTATATGATGGAACCGATAAATAATGCATATGCATGATAGAATGGGACTAGTGAATAAGGGATCAGAAATATATGTCCATTTGGATGTCGACATGAAACTAAGATAATAAATCAAAAATTTATCATGGACTAGTAGTCCAATTAGAAAATGGATTTCTGAAATCCACACTGTACAGTGTTTGCATTTTTGAGTCTTTTATTTATGTGCATGTTTGAGTTTTAAATTTATGAATTACTCATTGTATGTATAGGATGTAATTTGATGCATTACTCAATACATATATATTCTGTTTAATGTTTTATCATGAATTCTACATCTCATATTGCATGCATTAGGTCTTTACAACAATTGTGTTATATGTGAATGTTTATGGTATGACGAGTTTATAATTATGATGAAGGCTTACAAGAAGAAATTTATACTCCGATGGGCTTATAATTGTGATGAAAGTTTATATGATGACGATCCAATAGCATGTATATATGAATCATGCATGAAAAGTTCCCGCAGAACTTATATACAACGTATTCAAATATCTAGCCCTACAAATTCGATATTCTGAAAAATGACAATGTTGATATTGTTATCAAACTCATGGAGAGTATTGATGACTAAGTTATTGAAATATCAACCTGAAGTTTAACCAAGCGAGAGTTAATCGATTTTTATATTCATTGGAAAACTCCCGTATAAAATGCAAAATGTCTAAAGAAGAATAGTAATGAGTTATATTGCAGTAAGGATAATCTTCTTATGGTCCAAAAGAACCATGAGTAAAGTATATAATAATTACTTATGTTATATATTACTAATTCATATAAACTAAGATAATGATATCAAGATATCATGAGTTGCCATAAATTATCATCAATATTTGATTATCAATAGCTACTTTAACGACCTCCAGAAGTAGGTATAATTTTGATGGTAAGACAACTTGAAACAAAAATGTCATATAAGATAATAGTGGTAAACTCAACATAGATATTGTTCTCACAAGTGTTGAGAAATGAAGATGTCTCACAGTAAAGATTAGAAGATTCAAGTTTGATTATATCAAGGAGGATCAACTATCAAGTAATGATATTCAGCTACAAGTGTGAAGTTACTAAGCATTGGATCATTACGTTGGAAGATCTTAAGTTATGCATTCATCAGGGGGAGAAAATACGCGCTGCACTCTTTTTCCCTTAACCATGGTTTTGTCCCACATTGGGTTTTCTTGGTAAGGTTTTTTATGAGGCAGCATGTCAAGGCGTATTACGATAGTGTTGTACTCTTTTTCCTTTACTAGGTTTTTATCCCATCGGGTTTTTCCTAGTAAGGTTTTAACGAGGCACACTATTCGATAATGGTCATCCAAGGGGGAGTGTTATATAATATATGTATTTAGTAGATGTCCATTATACCCTTATGATTATTCTAGGATATTCTAGATATACTAGACTTGTTATTCTACAAGGAAGCCCTAATTGTATCACATGTATATATATACATATGTACTCCCACATCATTCAATAATAAGAATATCGATCTATTCTCTCCCCCACTTCCTCTTTCTCTTTAATTTCATAACACTTCACTTATTTTTGGTTTGGATAAGATTCAGGGACCTGTGTTTTTTGGTTTGACAGCATTTATGAAGGGGTTATGGTGGAAGGGATTATGTTTAATTTTGCGAAAAATTATTGCTAAGGGACTAAGTTTTTCTCAGGTGAGTTAAAAATGAGTTGCTTAAAAGGTGAATTAATGCCAGGTTCTTAACTCTAGGTCCCAAAAAGGTGAAAAAAAACCCCAGGTCCCAAAAGGTGAAAAACTTAAAAACTTAGACCCCAACTTTGTACTTAACTCTATTTTTCACTCTGTTTTGGGGAAGAGTTGCTTGTTTTTTACGAGGTAGGCTCCGAGTATTCTCACCAATGTATGCAATTATGCCCATTATGCACCATTGTCGATGTTGCGTAGTGGCCATGGACATTTCACATAGATGGCGTACCGCGTAGGCGTGCACTCATGTACTCAATGTATACATATGAATAACAGTTACACAGTGTCACCTCTGAGGTTGAGATTGTGGAGTCGTGACATCGCTCCCCACCTTCTTGGGATCCAAGCAGGGGCGGACTCACCAGATCCACCTTTAGTCATGGTGGGTCCCGTGACATAGCATTATTTTTGAAAAAAAAAGTTATAACATGTGAATAGGTAGTCAGACTACTTCTAAAAGTCTTAAGTAGTTTCACGTAAAACCTTAAAATTTATTTTTTTGAAAAAAATTTAAAAGAAGGAATTTTTGTGACTTTGTTAGACTTTTGTCTAATAGTTTCCAATTTCTTTAATTTTTTTACTCCACGATAATACCATTTACAAAATTTTTTTTAAAAAAAAAGAAAAAGAAAATAAAAAACTAGCCTCCACGATTTCAAGAATTTAAGTGACAATTCACCGATTCACTTGATGATTGCTATATTTGGAATTACAAATCAATTTAATGTGGCATTGCAAAAGCATGATCAAGACATTGTAAATGCAATGGTCATGGTTGATATAACCGAGGCTAATTTGCAAAAGATGAAAGATGAAGGATGCGATTCTCATTTGGAAAAAGTCACTTCTTTTATGTGGCTAAGTATGACATTGAGGTTCCAAACATGGAGGGGTGATATGTTGTTCCCGGGAGAAGAATGTTTAGAGGTAAAGGCCCACAAGTGACAAACCTTCATCATTTTCGAGTCGAATTTTTTCTAAGTGTAAGTGATCTTCAAATACAAGAACTTGAAAATCGATTTCCGAGGTTAGTAAGGATTTACTTGTTTGTATGTCTTGCTTTAATCCTGCTAATTGGTTTTCTTCTTTTGACAAAAGAAAATTAGCTCAACTTGCCAAATTTATCCCAATGAATTTTCAAGCTCCGAATTATTAGTTTTTGAGCATTCACTTGAAAATTTCATTGTTGATGTTCAAAATGATGAGAGATTTTGGAATTTGAAAAGTCTAAGTGAGCTTTCTACAAAATTTGTTGAGACGGGAAAGTTTGAAACTCATGAACGAGTCTACTTACTTTTAAAGTTAGTGTTGATTCTACCCGTTGCAACGACAAGTGTAGAAAGAGTATTTTTTCGGGATGATGCAAGTGAAAGATAAATTGCGTAATAGCATGGGAGATCAAATGTTGAATGATTGCTTAATTACTTATCTAGAGAGAGATTTGTTTTTCAATTTTAGCATGAATGATATTGTAAATCGTTATCAAAACATGAAAACTTGTCGAGTGCAATTGTAATATTTATTTTTTAAAATTGACTATTTGGTTGTAATATGGATATTTAATACTTTTGGATTTTTTTTTTAATTATTTTCTTTTTGAATATTCATGTATTAATTATTGATTGGTATGTGGTCAATGAGTGGCGGTGACACAACACCCCTATAATTCTAGATCCGCCACTGGGTCCAGGGATTAAAGTTCATGGGACTCATGTGAGGGATTTTCCTTATTTCTCCCCTCAAGTATGCCCCCTTCTTCTTACCATCAAATAAAAAAAAACCTTTTATTTTCATGGACAACGTCAATAGAAGTAGGATAGGAGTAGTAGGGCATTAAGATATATCTTTCATTAACTAGAAGATTTGTGTGTAACTGACGTTTGGAAAAAGTGGTTTTAATTGTAAATTTCCTTTGTAAATTCTCGTGTTATAATTCATTAGGGGATACTCAAACTTTTTTAAAAGAACAGAAAAAAAAGGTAGCAATATGTTATGGCAAACACAAGGAGGTTGGGGAGAAAGACCTCTTAGAGCAATGGCGTAGAGGTCGTTTTTGCATCCTTGAGGTGTGAGGTTCGATTTTCATCGGGCACAAATCCCATCCCTCTACCCCTTCCGGGCATTGCCAGCCAGGCTTGTTATAATTTATAGTTTGGTTGGTGTCTGAGTGAAAATTAAGTTCATTTTCCAGCTCCTTCGAAGCCTCCCCTAACACATTTATTTTAGGTGTCCCTCTTTTTCGAGATTTCACTACATATATTACGGTTGACCTTGTTGAAGCAACAAATAGAGATAGCAAATTAGGCAATAAATTGAGTAAAGTAAGAATGAGTAATTAAAAATAAACCTTAAATATTCGAGAATTATAAATTTGTAAATGGTTGTTAGTATAAGTTTGTAATTTATATTTCGAAGCAACGAGTATGGATTGGAAATTCCAAGTCTAGTCCTTGGTCTTGGAAAATTTGAGTATGGATCAATGCACAATATTGATTACATCAGTCATTAGAGTTTGAACTAACACAACCATCATATAAAGACGCGCATCATTTTATGGGCAAACATATACATAATCATATTACACTGTGCGATTTTAGTACAAAAATTTCCGCAATTTTTTATCGACCAAAACGAGAGTTGCACGGTACCGACCCAGTATAACACCACCTTTACAAATTTTATAACGATCATGAGGTCACCATATTCTAAAAGACTTACATTTTTCTTCTTCATTCATAAACCATCTCAAATTTGTTTTACCACAAATCAAATGACCAAAATTTTTCATTAGTAGAATAATTAGCACAAGTTTTTTTATCTTTTAAAAGGTAAGAAAAATAAGGAAAACATTAGGAATCCCTGAATAATTAGCACAAGTTTTTTTTTTTTTTTTTTTTTTTTTGACGGGGAGTAAAGACATATTAATTCGCCAAAGCACAAGTTGATTTAAGCAAGAATATGATGAAACAAGTTTTGGTAGTTAGAAAGGCTAAAGTAGGAACAAGTACCCATTAACAGACACATGTATGCTGCTACTACAATTCAGAAGCTCGCTCTCATGGCCTCTAAACCTAAGTCTTCTCGCCTCCATAACTGTATGTCTTTCTCTTTCTCTCTCCTCTATTTCTGTCTCTTCAACTTCTTTTATCGAATTTTCCCCAAGTTCATTTATTAAACCCTAGTTTTCTTCCATAATTTCCGTTGGAATTATCACTCTAAAACCCTAAACCTTAAACCCTTTTCAATATCTACTGTTTTTCTACACTGGGTTTTAGTCGTTGTCTCTGAAAATTGCTGTAATAGTAGCAGGAGCCAGGTGGGAAAGTGTAGCAAAGAAGCCTAGGATGATGACTACTGACGCTTCTATAAGTGACGCTTTCAGCAAGTATGCTGAATATCTCAACAACCTTGTAAGTTTCCTGGGATTTTTCTCTAATTTTTTGTTGAAATGGGAGTTTTTTTTGGGTGTTGAATGTGTGATGATGGAGTGTTATTATGTAAGTTTAGCTTAGATGCTTAGATGTTATCAAGTTATTGTAAGGAGCCTTAATTAATTGAATTTGAATCCTGTTGTTGGTAGTGGCTTTAATTGAATGTGTGAATAGAGTGCTATTGGATTAGAATATCCTGTTATCCGTAGCGCTTTGGTGTTGAATGTGTGTAAGGAACTTTGTAATTTTCAGGCTTAGCTTGGTCGGTTTTTTTTTACCCTCATTTTTTTGTGTCAAAGCACTCAAGGGAGCCCTTAACTGATTGAATTTGAATGCCCTGTTATATGTCATGCTTTGGAGATGAAATCTTTTGAGCTTTAATGGAAATATGGAATGGAAAAAGTTACCTCACTTCAACGTGGGTTGGAAAAGGTCAAGGAAACTGCATTTGGGAGAGTTGTGTGATTCATTGGTTGGGTCTTTATTGCTGGACAGGAAGGCCTTACAAATTGTTAACTAAAACAGAAGAATATATTTATAGTGCCTTACAAATTGTGGCAATAAGGATTAATTTTTTTTTTATAATCAAGAGAGAGAATTGGAATATTAGACTATCATTACCTTCTGCTGCAGTTGACCTGTCAGCACAAGGGGTGGTTTACGCTGTTACGTGATAACCTATGTTCCTTTAGCACGAAAACACACATCTCTTTGCGTTGTTCAACTACATTGGGTCATTATTGGAGCTGTAATTTGATTTTTGGAGTTGTATAGTTTAATGCCCGGCACCATTTCGATGAGTATGACAAGAGATATAGGATGAAAAGTGCAAGGGTATTGTATATTTGTATTAGATTTTGACCGGTTTCGTCACACAATTGTAATCCTTTGTTTCTAAATTTTATTGAACTTATACAGTAATTTGTTATAGGAAGGTTTGTTAGAATGGCTATTGGTCCTTGTAGAGTGCATGAATTAAACCATGGTACTTTATGAAAATTATGAATTCAGAATATGTAATGGATTGCTGATATTTTCTAGGCTTATGAGCTTTAATGTTATCCATGTCCTGGGCACGCCACTGGATGTTACACTAGTCTTCGAGGTTTTCAACTATTTGACCGGCTGAATGCAGGAGCTCATTTTTTTTGGCTCGTACGGATTAATAATTTAATATAAAAACAATTGTTGCATTTTTGAAAAGATATTGTGGAGCTAAATGAGTAATATTGAATATTAAATTACATTGTAGTGTTTTTGGTAATTAGGTGAAGAATGGGTAAGTATTGACATTCTTAGATTAACAAAGCAAGAGTTAACCACTGATTGGACCATTGACTGATTAAAAGTTGGAATAATACCAAACCAGGTCAGGGATTAATGATATCCAAATTTAGCTTCCCCCTAGCATCCTTTGCTAGCTTATCACTAATTCAGCCGATGTTCACCTTCTGTAGGCTCTTGAGTTTTGATCGTTAATGAGAATCATGTTGCTGTGATTCAATTGATTACTCTCTTTTAGTCTGAGAGAGTTGTTGCCTGTTAATCCTTATTTTGATTAGAGTGTTCTTGGTTGATTGCATCAAGATACACTAAATACGGCTGGTCCACAGTTCCACACTCAGATCCAGTTGCCTCTTGGGGAGTCTTTGGTCGCGGCACATGGCTGCTCAAACAGAAGGAAGAGTTAGCCTGAGAGAAAGATGCTTACAAGACTGCAAGATGGGGGGAGGCTTATTAGGGGGATTGACTTTTGGCCACATCTGTAGACATGCAAGAAAGGAAGGAGTTGGGTGTGGGCAAGTCCTCTCAGATTTCTGGGGATCTGGCAGTCTCTCAGTGCATGAAGAAGTAGAACTGATTCTTCTTGAGATTGGCAAAAAGGGCAATTCACAAGAGATTATTTCTGCAAATTTTCTAGCTAGGAATGATTGGTGGCCACTCTCTTATCAGACCAACAAACAAAGGAGATTTTATGCAGGTTGGTAAGGCAGATCATCCCAAATAGCTCTCCATGATGAACTAAGGTACAGAGATTTAGGATTCTTAGGGTCTTTATCTTAGTCTATTCAACCTGCCAAAAATCTATGTTCTCAGTGCTCCACTACACCCCCATTCAGCTTTGCATGAGAAGAGATTTTATCCCTTCGTGCAATGTTGCCAGAAGTTGGAGCTTTTATAGGCAGCTCAGGTTTTCTCTCCAATCTTCACTATAAAATCTGATGGTCAGATACCAACAGTCGTCTTCTAACATTACCTTATTTCTTCTTAAATGTGGCAGAGCTTTCCAATGCCTCTACTTTCCATTTCACTCAAATGTTAGTAAAGGATTCTATCTTAGTTTGTGCTGGATCTTTTCTGTATGGCAATCTTTATGCTGTGTGCATATGTTATAAGTTGGTGTTCTATGATTAAAATTTGAACAATAGACATGGATTTCTTTATTTGATATTTGGGGTTTATTAGATTTTGTTTCATGATTTAACATCAAAACGTTTAGGCATTGTTGTGAATTGTGAGTGTTGGTTAGGATGATATTTATTCTCAGGTCAATATTGTTTTCATTTCTATGTAGAATGAGAAGAGAGAAAAAGTGGTGAAAGCAAGCCGTGATATCACCATGAACAGCAAAAAAGTTATTTTTCAGGTGCACAGGTAAATTGTTTCACACTACCACAATCTTTAAGGTAGTGATGTTTTGCGTGGAGGTTATTATCTTTTAGGCATCCTATGTAATCCCTCTAAGCTGTGAACTTTCTACTCTTGATGGTATAATTAAAATTGGCTGTATTTATAAAGACCTGTTGAAATTTGCCACAGTTTATTCTGAGGGGCTTCATTTTACTTTGGCCTTTTCCCACCTTGCCTATCTCATTCTGCTGTGGTTCTTTATTCGCACTAGATTTTGCTATGGGTGGTTAATGGTGTGGAGCATTTTTGTAACAACAGAATTGGCAAACTTAACAAAGATGAAGTACTAGAGAAGGCAGAGAAGGATCTACAAGCTGTGAGGGATCAGCATGTCTCCCGGCTTGTGAAAGAATTGAATGGGACTGACTTTTGGAAGCTGAGACGTGCATACTCGCCTGGGGTTTGCACCTATTCCATCCCTCTTTTACAGTATATTTATTGTACCTTAAGGTAATTAATGCTATATATTTTTTCAGGTACAAGAATATGTGGAAGCTGCAACATTCTGCAAATTCTGCCAAACTGGAACTCTTCTGAATCTTGACGAGATTAATGCTACTTTCTTACATTTATGTGATTCTTCCATTGAGCCTCTGCAGATTAATATACTTGACTACCTTTTGGGGGTAATTAACATGTAACACAGTTCTAGTGTTTTGTAGTTTATGGCAAGTATTAACTACTGATTTATCTTTCAAAGTTCTCTGCTTATCATCCACTGTACCATATCAAATATTTATAGTCTGAAGCTCATACGGAGTAATTATTTTAATAAATTAATAAATTGTGTGGTGTGAGGGTCTTTGAGCTAAGAAACTTGTTTCAATGAGTGCTGAATCTATCTGTATGTAGCTTGCAGACTTGACCGGAGAGTTAATGAGGCTGGCGATAAGCCGAATATCAGATGGTGAACTTGACTTTGCTGACAAGATATGCAGATTTGTACGTGATTTACATAGGGAGCTGACCATAATTGTCCCAAATATGGATGAAAGCCATGATATGAAATTCAAAATGGACACAATGCTTCAAAGTGTGATGAAAATAGAAAATGGTATGCTCGCTAATACTAGCTTGACTTAAATGTGGGTGATTGCAGTCATTTCAGCATCTGAAATGTTATCAGTTTAAAATGAATCATTTCAGGTCAAGTTTAGTGGATGAGAATATATTTCCTCTTTGTTCTTGACATTGAGCTTTTATTTTTTCTAGCTTGCTTCAGCGTACATGTGAGAGGATCAGAGTATATACCAATGCTTGGAGTAAATGACCCTAGCTACACGCTGATGGGAGTCCCGGATATGGAGCTGTAAACTACCGTCAAACTCTCCAGTTTCCCGTTCTGCAAACTGTATGTGTCTTGTTCACTCTGGAGTCTTTCTATAATACTCTGGAGATCACTTGATGTTGACTATGCTTGGTAATGGGAAGTGAATTTGTGGTCGGTTTTGTCAATACCTCGTGTCTGGAGAACATCACATTATATAACCCTAACAATTTCATTCACGTATCCTGCTTTTTTGAGGTAATTTTACGGGAATGAGGTTAACATATGCCTGATTTGGTTTGTCTGTTTACATTTTAGTTAGGTGAAATGTGAAACTAGATGAAATGAATTGAAAGGCTGCCTAATCATTTTAGAAGTACTCCGGTAGTTGCTAAGGTAATTTTTGAGCAACTTTTAATATGTAAGCTTTGCTGAAAGCTAATATAAGTTTAAGCTATAGTATGTTCAACTCTTTACCTGGATTGGCACAAATTCGTCCATTCAAAGACTCCCTCCATTATATTGTCTGTGGTACTATAACAATATGCTTTATCATCTGGTCAATAGCTTGTAATAATTTATTATTAATAAAAAGCATGTATATACGAAGTATATTTTTTAGAATATTATTTTATGAAGTTGAAAAATTAGACATTACTCTTAAAAAACTTCCTTTCTTAATTAGTTATCTTTTTTCTTTTACGTAGATACAAGAATTTCATAGTAGATCGAGCACTTCTAGTTGACTTTCTGAAAAAAGAAAAAAGAAAAAAAAAAAAAAAGACTCAAAACTGTACATGTATATATAAACCATATGTTAAGTGTCAATTATGCAAGGTCAACACCATTATTATTCATGGAAACCAATATATTATCAACCCATCCTCATGATTCTCATGATCCAAAAGAAGTAACTCCATCTCCCAATTTGGCCAAATATTTGCAAGAAGATGACTTAACCCAAGAATGCCAAGCCTTAATCTCCACCTTACCCAAAGAACAATGTTGGGTTCTATCCCATCTTTACCAATACCAAGGGTTTTGGCATCCTATTAGGGAGCTTCAAGGTGTGCTTTCATGCCAACGTCATTTCCAAGCTCGCAACACCGATATCATTCTCGCCACTAACCCTAAATGCGGCTCAACATGGCTCAAAGCCTTAGCATATGTTGTCGTAAACCGGAAAATCATTCCCCTTGATGATAACCACCCACTTCTCTAAAAAAACCCTCATGAGTTAGTACCTTGCTTAGAGCTTAGGGTTTATGTTGATCACCAAGTCCCTGACCTCACGGAACTGCCCTCTCCTAGGCTGTTTTCGACACACTTACCTGTTGAGTCGCTACCGTTATCCATCAAGAAAACGGGCTGCAATGTTGTGTGCCTAGCTAAGAACCCAAAAGATACCTTCATTTCGTTATGGCACTTCGCAAACAAGTTAAGGCCTCAAAATGATGGTAAGCTCCTACTAGAAGAGGCATTTGACAAATTTTGCAAAGGTGTTAGTTTTTGTGGGCCTTTTTGGGATCATGTTTTGAGCTCTTGGAAATATAGCTTAGATAATTCTAATAAGGTATTTTTCTTGAAATATGAAGAGTTAAAAGAGCAACCTAAGTTGTATTTGAAAAAATTGGCTGAGTTTTGGGGATGCCCTTTTTCTTTAGAGGAGGAAAATAATGGGGTTGTTGATAAGATACTTAGTTTGTGTAGCTTTGATAATCTGAGTAATTTGGAGGTGAATAAGGTTGGGAAATTGTCTACGGGAGAACATAATGAAGCCTTTTTTCGAAAGGGCGAGGTTGGTGATTGGGCTAATTACTTTACTGAAGAGATGACTGAGAAACTTGATGAGATTTGTTTGAACAAATTTCAGCTTTGTGGTTTGAAGTTTTAAATCGGTTGTGTTTTTGTGAGGGAAATTTGTATATGCATCCGGTATGGTGTATCACGTCATCCAAGTATGTACTTTTTTTATGCGAATGTAATTAAAAACTGGCTTTATCATTCAAAGGTTATTTTTCAATGACTTTTAACATGTAAGCTTTGATGAGAGCTAATCAAAGTTTAAGTTGTTTTGTGGGACGGAGGGAGTAGTATATTCAATTATTCACTTGAGACAATTTAGTATATCTAAGATTTAAGGTCTTTTTTAATCACTTTATTTTCACTTATTTTAGGGAAATAAAGTTGTTTTGATAAGATAATTTTAGGAAGAATAAATTTTGATGAGGTTTATGTTTAAATTATAACTAAAATAAGTCAGATAATGTTCAATGATTTTAGATAAGTTCATATAAAACCCACGTGAATAGAATACCCTCTTTTTTTTTTTTTGAATGAATTGTAAAATTAATCCATTAATGTAAAGTCATACGACAATCGAATTTAGCAAATACATAATTTGAATCAAATAAAAATTTTCTTCATACACCCTTACTTCTTTATTTTGTTTGAGGTGCAATAATTACAATAATAATACGGAGTAATAATAAAGTAATAGTTTATGGTGACGAAATTAATTTAAGGGATCCTTTGTTTTCATACGATTTATTAATTTGAAAACAAGTCATCACGTTAGCCACTACTACTTGTAGAAGAATACAATTATATAAAGTTATGAAGTATTATTTATCTCTCTTTATTCCTTTTTTTCTCCTTTTCTTTTTCTTTGTGAAGAGGAGACTTTTTAATAAGAATTTAAAACAGATGTAATAATCTACGTGATCAGTAATATATAATAATTCTTTAAATGTCGACAGTAAGTAAATATATATTTCAAAATATACTTCCTCCGGTTTTCTTTTATTGTACCATAAGGACTTTTACACTATTTATGTAACCTTCTATGACCATCTTTTGTGATTTATCCGTAATGAAAAGTATAGTTATGTGGTATCTAGTTAGATACGTCTCCAAATGTACTTTTCAAATATCATATATTAATAATTTTTACAAAAGCGTAATTAAAGATATTAATAATTAATAGCCATAGTAATGCATTAGCAAGTGTGAAACCCTTCATGGTGCAATATTGTTGAAATATATTTCAAAACTGGTTTCAAAAAAAAAAAAAAAAAAAAAAAAAGAAAAAAGAAAAAATTATATTTCAAAACTAGACATTACTCATATTAGGTTGCTAAAAAGTCCCTTTTCTAAACAAAATTCCTATTGTAGCTAGACACGAGCTGTTGTGCAATCAATTTTTTTTAAAATGAATATAATATGGTACAATGATTTCACAAATTAATTGATCACAACTAGTCGATTAACACCAAAAATTAAAATATAATTTACAAAACAATCTTCACATACTATGACATAAACGAAGGTTTAATCTCCACCTTACCCAAAGAACAAGGATGGATTCTATCCAATCTTTACCAGTAACAAGGATTTTGGTATCCTAATTAATAATCAATCTATTTGAAGGTTTACTTTCATGCCAACGCCACTTCCAAACTCGTGACACCGATATAATTCTCATCACTAACCCTAAATGTGTCACAACATGGCTCAAAGCGTTAGCGTACGCTGTTGTGAACAGGGAAATAATCCTCCAAAAGAAGATAACTACCCACTTCTCGCAAATAACCCCCATGAGTTAATACCTTTCTTAGAGCATAAGGTCTATGTTGATCACCAAGCCCTTGACCTCACAGAATTGCCCTCTCCTAGGGTGCTTTTGACACACTTGCCTGTCAAATTGCTACCGTTATCCATCAAGGAAACGAACTGCGACAATGTGTACCTAGCTAAGGACCCAAAGGATGCTTTCATCTCATTATGGCACTTTTCAAACAAGGCCTCAAAATTGTGGTAAACTCCCACTAGAAGAGGCATTTGACAAGTTTTGCAAAGGTGTTAGCTTTTGCGGGCCTTTTGGAATCATGTTTTGAGCTCTTGGAAGTATAGCTTAGACAAGCCTAACAAGGTCTTTTTCTTTAGAGGAAGAAAATAATGGGGTGCTTGAAGAACTAAAAGAACACCTAAACTGTATTTGAAAAAATTGGCTGACTTTTGGGGGTGCCCTCTTTCTTTAGAGGAGGAAAATAATGGGGTGCTTGAAGAAATACTTGATTTGGTAGCTTTGATGATTTGAGCAATTTAGAGGTGAACAAAGTTGGGTAATTGACTTCTGGGGAGCATAATGAGTCTTTTTTCGTAAGGGCGAGATTGGTGATTGAGCTAATTACTTCACTATGGTTTAAAATTTTAAATATGTTTCCGTTTCTAAGAGGGAAATTTATGTATGCATTTGGTATGAGATTATTATGTCTTATTGTGGTTTGAGATCATCATTACGTACATTGGTTTGTTTTTACTTCCTCCGTTTCATATTAGATGACACATTTCATTTAGACACGTTTGCCAATGCATGTTTTCTAATGAAAATATCCTTGATTACAAATTAGCAAAATTATAAAAATTTGATGTTTAAAAAAAAGATTTTGAGACGAATCTAACAAGACCTTATATGACTATACTTGTTCTCAACACAAAATCACAAAACGAAGTCAAAGAAACTTATGTGAATTGTGCACAAAGTCAAAATATTATCTAATTTGGAAAAGAGTGAATATATTCAATTATTCACTTGGAAGTTGGATCCGGACAAATTCGTGCATTTTAAGAGTCGCTCCATTAAGTTTTGTATGTGGTATTATCAATAGTAATAATAACAATAATTTTTTATGTGAGAAAATCAATTAGAAGGTTCCCTTATCATCATACGGGGTGATTAGTTGAAATCATGTCCAAATCAGCAACCATATGATTGTCATTTAATCTAAACATAAACAATTGCTGGTAATCACAAAATTTGTGTACACGTGCCGGCCAACGTGATTTTGAACATAGTGACCCTAAATATATAATGACCTTAATTTTATATAGTAACCTTTTTATTACAAAGTATTATAAACAATGCAGAGTTTAGTTGAAACAAATATATGAAACAATTATCAACACCTTCTCCTCAACATCAAACGAATTACTTGGCTTTACTTCTATGATTCTATCCAACATTATTTCTTATCTTTCCCAACAGTCCAACTCATTGATTTTAAAGAAGAGTACCATATTCAAGTTGCCGACCTAACTTATCGACTCAAAATTTCTTCGCAAAATTGTGCATTCTTCTGCTATCACGCTATATCAGATGGTTACCGTTTTTATGCTTTCACCAATTAATTTCCACTTTCCAAATGTAGGTGATTATAGTTGGTTCATTACAAATTACTATACATCATTTATTTTCCCAACTAATAATCTACTCCAGTAATATAGATAGCAACGCACGCTTTGGATTCCAATCAATTGTCATCAGATATACTTCGTAGTTCGTACTACTCCCTCTGTCCTTAATAATAGTCCCTTTTGGTCAAATTTTAGTTTCAAAATATTCATGTTATTTATTTTTTCCAACAACCATAAATATTAATGTTTTTTTTTTTTTTGTTTTTTTGTTTTTTTGTTT